TTCTGGCACAAAGAGGCAGAACCCTCAACTTATCAAATATCTTCGTTCTTTATTTGATAGGAGGATAACAATATTACACTAGATGATACAAGTAAACTTACTACTCAGGGTAAATGTTTAAATAGGTCGATACTCAGCACGTACTGTTTCATACATTCTCCGTAAAACTTGCACTCACAAATAGATCAAGACACAAACAAACAGAATCTTTCTGCTGTGCGCCAAAAAACTGAGACAACTCACTAATTCAACTTCATACAGGTGATGGTGTCTCTACCTGGACATCCCACTTATCTACCACCTCCTTCAGCTTGTCGAAACCCTGTCGAAAACACCATCAATTGCTCCATCAGAAACCATACTTTAAAAAAAAATCCAGAATCAACGAAAAAATGCTGCACTCCACGCTGTACTAACCTTTTTTCCCTTCACCTTTCTTTCATGTATAATCAAATTTTCTTTTTGTTAAACTTAATGGATTATTAATATATAACTACATTCAACCAACTTAATAGAACTTTGAAACATTGTAAGAGCCTATTCAAGTTTCATTTATTGCCGTAATGTGGTAAAGAATTTTTTTTAATAGTGACATGCATACAGATGCAGATGACCATGGTAATTTATGTTTTTTATAGTCTATTATTACAGCAAATTATGTGGTGTTATTAGAATAAAATGTCATAACAACAGAACTTGAGGAACACAAAAGTTTATATAATACTTACGATTCGGTTTGTGAACTGTCCAAATGATTCACCCTGCTGGCGTTCTACTTTCCAATTGTAGAATAATGGCTCCAGAACCTTTTCGAGAGCTTGGATCTTCACCTTATTCATAAAGCACTCTGCCAATGTAGTCTGGTTAGGTGTTCCCCCAAGCCAAATCTGTTTAAACAAAAAGCAATAAACAAAGCGCATAAGCTTTGACCACATTGATGAAACTCTCATCTCGCTGTTTAACTCAAAAGCAGTGTTCTCATTTTTTTGGGCAAGGAGCGTCATTACACCTTCGCAGGTAATTAAACCGTATTTTAGTATGAAGGTTAAGCCCACCCACCATGCCCAGTAGAGAAGAGAATCGAGAATTTCCCAAATACCTGGTAGCTATTTGGGCCATCCCCAACAAATCCCAGTTCAGCCATGTACGGTCTGGCGCAGCCATTAGGGCAACCAGTCACCCTAATCACCACAGATTCACTGTCTTTAATCCCTATCTGAAATAATTATGGCTTCAATTGTTAGAATCCAAAGCATTTCTTTTAATGGAATTCTTTACTGAAAGAATTACCGAGTTTCAAGTAGTTACCTTATCAAAAACAGCTCGAACCCTCTTGAGCATATGAGGTATCCCTCTCTCTGCTTCTGTAATCGCTAATGGACAGAGGGGAAAAGCAGGACAGGCCATTGCCGTAAGATTGAGAGGATCAACATAGCTAGGTTGCTGTCAAACAATGCAATAATAGTTGTAACTAAAAGAGAAAAAAAAGACAAGTGTTGATTTTATCTATCCGACATAATGTATGCAGCCTAACCTACAGACAAGTCAACCTCGTAAAATTGCAAGACTTTTGAAGTCAAGTCTTTGCATTGGTCTTGAGTTAAGACTCAGAATTAACTCGGCACATTTTCTTTCAAGGCTAAATGAGGGAATTCAGACATATCATACAAAAGAGAACCAAGTTTACCAGAAGACCTGCTTGATCAAGAGCTGTGGTGATCGGTTCTCTCAAGGATTGATGAATGTCACACAAGATAAGGTTCTGGTTTGGCGTAATGCGCACACTCAGGTTATACTTCTCAATTATTTCCCTCAATGTTTTCTTCTTTGTGCCTCCAATACGACCATTATCAACATGTACCCCACAAAAAAGTGTATCATTCTCCTGTAAGAAAACTCTGATAAGTTTAAACATAATTAATACAGAAGAAATTTGAGAAGTACATCTTCAACTACATGCATCTATACGTTTATTTTCAATTGAACAAATGATATTACAAAAAACGTTTGTAACATGTTATTGAATTGGTACATCTACAACAACAGGCGCTTGGTATAGTGGTAAAGGGGAAGTTAGGGGAGAAGGGAAATGCAGGGTGGAAATCATGCCGTTGAGATCAACTTCACAACAAGGGGAAATTATTTAATTGCACATCACAGGAGTATTATTTTAGCCAAACCTGTTCATGCCAACCGAGATAGCTCTTAAATTCCCATTCAGGTAACTCACGGAAGGCCTCAAACTTCTTCCCATAATACTGCTCAACAACACTGCGGAACTTATCAATTCCCCATTCACTGATCAAGTACTTCATTCGACTATATCGCCGATCATCCCTTCTCCCATTGTCTCTTTGTGTGACAACAATTGCTTTAATAGCATACAATATGTCTTCTTTTGGTACATAACCCAGTGGCTCACCCAAACGAGGGAAGGTGGTGTTTACCCTGTGTGTTCTTCCCATTCCACCACCCACCTAAATTTGAAATTGTTGTCAGATAGGATTGAAATACTGGCTGAATATTAAGGGGAAAAACTGATTAAAAATGCATGTCAAGAAAAGGATAAAAGAATTCTCCTTACATAAATGTTAAAACCCTGAGGCTCTCCGTCACTATCAGAAACTACAACAACACCGATGTCATTAGTCAAAATATCAACAGAGTTGTCTGTGGGAACTGTAACTGCAATTTTGAACTTCCGAGGTAGATACTGAGTGCCATAAATTGGCTCTGGGGAATCAGGAAAGTTTGTACCATGTGAATTGTCATTACGAGCCTCCACTACTTCAGGCGGCTCTGCTGACATGATTTTCTCACCATCTACCCACAAGTCATAATAAGCACCAGATTGAGGTGTAAGAAGGGAAGCAATATTTTCTGCAGTTTCCTGAGCAAAAACATACTCTTTCTTGGTATATGGTGCAGCAGGGGCAAGAACATTCCTGTTTAGATCACCACATGCACCAAGAGTTGAACCCATGTTTCGAATAATAGTACTCATTACGGTTTTAAGGTTCTTTTTCAGGACACCATGTAGCTGAAATGTTTGTCTGGTGGTTAATCGGAGAGTGCCAATGCCAAACTCATCAGCAAGATCATCCATAGCCAAGTAGAGCTTGTTTGGAACCTTTCCACATGGATTCTTTGTTCGCAGCATAAAAGAGTAGGATCTAGTATGACGTTCCTCTCTGTTGTACTGCTGATAACTACCATGAAACTTTATCAGCTGGGTGGCATTTTCGTTTATATTTGGTGCCTCTGATACCAATTCCTCATTCAATGGATATCTAAGAAAGTTGCTTTTCTCTTTAATCAATTCAACCTTGCTTCTCTTTGCCTCAGGCTGCAAAAAGAAAGAGTAGAGATGAGAAAGATAGCCACTTCATTCTAAGCCTTGCAAGAAACATACATGTCTCTAATCAATAAAGTGCCATCTATCGGCAACAAACAGTTCCAGATATTAGAGATTTCAAGTGAGTGTGCACAAAATGCAAATTCTCAAAAGAAATCCCGATCTTATAAATGGTCAAGAATTGCCAGTTAGAAACTGTTGATACGCATTTTGTAGTTCTTTTGGCCATGTACAAAAAGAAAAAGAATACATGCACAGGTGACCAAGGCCGTATCAAGCTTCACTAGGTAGATTAAAATCTGTCTTAAAAGATCTATTTTTTTGTGATCCATTGACTTCCACAGGTCTTAATTAATGTCAAATAATCTGTCAAGCTAACATCTATTATGATTTGAATGGATAAAGTGGATATTCCATTATCCATGTCAAGCTATAAAGTTCAGGTGCTTGTTTGGGTTTCCCATACCCATTGTTCTAAATTTCCTCGATATAGCTGATATATCCTTTTATGAGACTTGCCGCAAAACGATACTCTCTCAAATCTTTCAGTGCATTTTAGCAATGTTTGGGCGAATATGTCCCCACATGGCCAATATATTAGCTGATACGTAGGCCGAAATATCCTTCTATGTAGTTTATCGCTAAACAATATAGTTCTGTAAATTTCTTTGATGTTTTTTTATCAAATATTTCAGCCCTATGAAGCTTTGTTAGCATGTTTTAATATTCTCTTTTGCCTAAATTTCTACAATTGATTAGTGATCCTAAACATATATTATTTACAATTTAATATGCTTAGATTTTATTAAATATGTTTAGATTACATTTTAGGACATTGTGTTACATATGCACATCATCTGATATTTACTACAACCCAATTTTCCTAATATCCTGCAATCTGATATGAATTTTGGGCGTTCGATATTTCCCCGATATCCGATATTTAAAACCTTGCCCATACTATGTTAGATACATGTCACACGCTGAAACTCCACGGTCTATGGACATGGTGTGGACACCATTTAGGACCAAGACATGTTCAAACTAAAAGTTTGGGTTTATCATCATCATGATTGTATTGTTTTTTCATTACGTGTTAAGATGTTAGTGTTCAATAATAGTCAAAAGCCACAACAGGTGGACACATTGGTGGCGGATGAGATAAAAGCACGAACCTTGTTGGGGAGCTTAATCGTATTTGTACATACTGTGAAGCCAGAAACACATGTTTCCATGAGTACTACGAGACCCAAAAACATTAAAACTACTCCGGTACCTTAAAAAAACATATGCTTTCATGTCAGATTAGAGATAGTATCACAAATTCTTTTTAAGTGGCACAGGGACAAATCTACAACATGTGGTCTCACTTGTGGAGAATGAGGACAAAGCATTCACACCGAAGGCACTGAAGGCTTGATTCTTCCCAGGTGTGTGATAAGGAACACTCTTCCGTCTAAGTTACAATGTGGAGGTTAGTATATCTTGTGGATCCAGTTATGTGCTGGAAATTCATTCATGTTAATATTATAATATGAACTTTTTTACTTGTGTGTTTTTTGACCTGTTTATTGCAAAAGGATGCCTTCATGGAATTTGATCTTACCCTTTGTGCTTGGGTAATTTGTGGTCGTTCATTATGCACTCTAATCCTTTTCACAAAACAGAAGGGAAAAAAGGTCATTGTTTTGTAGTTTCCACCAGTACCTATGCAACTCATGCTTATCAACTAGACAGGTGGCAAGCTATTAATCCAAACCTCTGTCCATATGAGATATTATTACATCACAGTCCTCGAAGGCCTTCATGGACACAATAGGAAATGTCCAATTCTCAACGAATAGTTTCTTCATGAAAACTACAAAAATAGTTCCCGGTGCCTAGAAGATTGATACTACAATAATAACGCAAAGGTTGCCTTTTCTCCCTAGCTTCAAATTTCAACTTCAGCTTTATACCAACTTTGGTGTTTGTAAACTAAAAGTATTTAGCTAAAACAGCTTCAACTTAAAGCTAGATATAAAAGCTAAGTAAAATGTAGCTTCTAAAAGTAGCTGATGCTTATTAGATGTACTTTGATAAAATTTCCCTTCAATATCACAATCCTCATATAAGAATATTCACATGGCAAAAGAGTATATTTTGGTCTTTCTTCAGCAACTCCAGCAGTTTCTCACAACATTAGCGAATGCCTCATTTTTTCTAACATTAACTACTTACAGCCGATTCTCATAGAAGCTTGCAAAAAGATACAGTCAAGTGAAACCTAGACTAAACAACATACAGATTCTATGCAAGATAATGCTGCTAGTCTTATTTTGTTTAGAAATGTGAACCGTCAAATGTATTGCATCGACAAAGAATCTGGTGATCATGGGGAATTCTATACCTCTAGGATGATTTTGAATGCAAAAAACTCGAAGTGCAAATCAAATACCCGAGTAACAGAATGTCTTCATCTCCGACCTTTCTGCAGGAACTATGCAATCTATTCAACAAAGGTAGGAAGGAATGACTAATGGTCCAATTGATGATGAAAATTCCACTCTTCACCTTGGAGGGAAAGTGAAAGCTAAGGACAAGGCAGAAGGACCTTCAGGTTGTTGTTTCAATCCATAGCAGATAAAAGATGAAACAAGGACCTTAGAACAACAATGACAACTTTCATGAGTTTAGCTTGTTACTCCTCATGCAACTCGTCAAACATATGCAAAGTCTTTCCATATGCACAGCATGCATCTTCCATCTTGTTCCTTGTGGCATTCGATGTAGATCAGTTGATGTGATTCTAGGGCTAACATATCCTTTTTTTTTGGTAGATGAAAAATATCTTTATAAGCACATTAGAATTATCTTTATTAAGTTGTCTCAAATACATAATTTAAATAAAAGTAACAATCAACTTTCTACTATTAATCTTTTCAAAATGTTCAATCACAGTATCTATTTGAAAAAATTTATATGACTCTATTTGTATTTAAATCCTACAGAAATTTAGTCAAATCTGTCCATAATGAATTTACTTTAGGAGGTGTTTGTTTACATAAAAGTGAAAAATGAAAGTGTGAAAGTGACTCACATTTTTTCAGTTTAGGTGTTTGTGAAATGTGAAATGTTTGCCACATCAGCTTTAATGCATTTTCAACTTACCCTAAAAAAGTGCAGAAGTCATGTGAAAGTAAAAAGGTGGGGACCTCATTTAATTTTTTTTTACCTTCCGGTTTTTCCCCATAAAACAAAAACTATTTCATTCTATGTTGCAAATACGTTCCCATTCCATGGGTACATATTTGAGTGTGGAATGATATTTTGGTAGTCTGATACATCAGCCCCTAAATAAACATGTAAATTTTTGGAGACAGTTTGCTTCTGCTTTCAATAAACATGTAAATTTTTTTCAAACATGTCCTACAAGCAGAAGCAAATATACCAAATAGTACCTGACGATGCTTTTAAAAACAGCTTTTGCTTTAAAGTAGAAGCAAATATACCAAATGGTACTTGAGGATGCTTTTAAAAGTAGCTCCTGTTTTTTGTAGTTTATATACCATATATACCCTTTAGGTTTTGGCAATGTTTTCATTACCAATAAACATGAAAATAAAAATTATGTGCATTTTGGTAATTTTCAAATATAATAATCATTAAGCACAAATTTACCAAAACACCTTAACAACTTTTTGAAGTTTTTTTCAATAAATGACTACCAAACAACTATATTTAGCAGCTTACATAAGTTGCTTGTATAAGTTGTTTATATAAGCAACTTATTATACACTACAGCAATACCAAACCGGCCCTTGATCAGGTAAGACAAAAATAATAGCAACCTAAAAACTCCATAACAAGCAATCACTTGCGTTATAATTTTTTCAGTAAAAAGAATAAAATAATCACTAAAATAAAGTATAGAAACTTTAAACTGAAGATTTAGTAATATTAACTCAAAACACTATTTTTTTATTTATTTCTTTTTGTAGTAAAAACATATGAAGTCACAATCAAATCAAATAGATGAAAGATACAAATATGGTTGCAAAAACACAACAATTAGCTTCCATATGCATGCAATAAATAAATTTTAGGTAGGGCGTCATTTCGAAGACATGCTTACTTCATTTAGAAAATGAAATGTTTTATTCACGTGCACCAAACAATTAAATCAGAACACACCCCCCAAATCCTACAATAACGAACTCAATAAAGTAACAACAAAAATTGCCAAATTAAGCGAAGTAATCAAAAACCTTACGGTGGCAACAGCGGTGATGACGCTCGAGGACGATGAGGGCACCGGCGAAACCCTAGCCGATCTCCCGATCGGGATCGATCCGGCCGATCTCAGCCCTCGGAATCCGTACCCGAGAATCTGGACCTTCGGATCCTTCGTCGCTCCGATCATCGACGTCGCCGTCGCTGCTGTCGCCGCCATCGCTAGCTAGGGTTTGAGCGAGAGCGAGAGCGAGAGCGACAGAGAGCAATAAAGGGGATTCTCTCTTTTTGAGTGATGGAGATGGGAAAATTCGCGGTCGCCAGATTTCTGCCCCTGATGCTGCAACTTAAAAAAGAGTGGCGGCCGCCCGAGCTGGGTTGATATTTTCACGCGATCTTGACGGAATATTTGGACGATATTTTTTCATATTAGACCCTAACTCTTTGCTGATTTTATAGCCCACCCCGGAATCGTTATAGAAGAAATTTTCAAAACCGACCCAAACCATGTTTTTATTTTCAAAACCGACCCACTTTTTTTTAATTTATCAAAATCGATCCACTTTTTGTCACGTCAGCTTAATCTCATTTCCTAATTAGTCGGGTTGCCGACCCCGATTATTTAGGACAGCAAAAACCGAGTTTAAGGCTCCTAATTAGGGTTTAACAACCTCCTAAACAGTCGGGGTAGCCAACCGCGACTGTTTAAGAATGAGATTAAGCTGACATGGCAAAAAATGAGTCGATTTTGATAAATAAAAAAAGTGGGTCGGTTTTGAAAATAAAAACATGGTTTGGATCGGTTTTGAAAATTTCTTCAATCGTTATATTTTTAAACTCCCACCCAAAAATATTCCTATTTGCGAGAATTTGTGGTTAAGGGTGTTATTAATGCTTGGTTTGGTAGGAACTAGGAAGGGGAGGGGAGGACACTACAAAATAAACTAAAATATTAAAGGGAGAAGGATCTTTGGAGGAGAGAGAAAATAAGTTATAAAAGCATGTATCTCTCTTCTCCTCCTCTCCAACCAAATATAAAAGCCTAAAGAAATTTTCATCGGTTCACCTCATTGCACTTCTCCTTTCCTCATAATGTTAATCAAACTGAGCTTAAGGAAAATGGGTGTGATTATAGTAGTAGTTGTTGGATATATAATGAGGATTATTTAATTTATTTTGTGAATTCATTGGATCTGGACTTGTTTGATGAGGAAGTTCGCTCTCGTGTCAGTGCTCACGTGGAGGGGAGAAAGTGCGGTTGGACTGAAGCGGGTGTTTGCGTGCACTTCCCAAGGGCTTTCTCGCATTCCAAAGTTTGGAAGTTCTAATTTCTCCCATTCTTCAAAAATTATAAAGAGGATATTAGGGGCTGTGTGTTTTCTTTATTTTGAGAGGAAAAATGTGGAGAAAGCCTGTCAAAAGTGCAGTTTTTGTTAGGTTTTCCACTCAAATCGCCTCTAAAAAAGACGATTTGGGTAGAAAGCCTACCAAAAGCTGTACTTTTGGCAGGCTTTTGGTAGGCTTTCCACCCAAATCGCCTCTAAAAAAGGCGATTTGGGTGGAAAGCCTGTCAAAAGCTGCACTTTTGGCAGGCTTTTGGCAGGCTTTCCCCACATTTCCCTCTCAAAAAAAAAGAGAAACAAACAGCCCCTTAGGAAACTTATTTGGTAATTTGATTTTTTAACGTTAATGATTGAAAGGTGAGTTCTCTTCAGGAAGAATGTGTTTTCCACAAATTTATATAATTTAAATAAAGAAACGAAATAATATTAATATAATTTTAACTAAAGAAACATAATAATATTATCATGTCACCATTGCCTTCTCGTTTCAAGAATAATTTCTATTGATTAAACACTCTATATACTTATATACTGACATGGATACACCTTAATTTTATACTTACTAGTATGCAAAACGTGCGTTGCACGTGATTCATGTTAGGAACTCTATGGGGGGAAACCTCTGAAGGTCAACTAATGCTGCATACATCAATATTAATATTTTTATGAAGCACGCACTTATACTTCACATAGAGTAGAGATTAACTCTATAATAATAGTACAAGCATCATGCTTATACAAGAGTCTATTATCAGCATCACCTTCTCCACAATCTTCACAGAAAACAAACATAAATGGGCAAATTCACCAAAAATGCAACAACTACAAAAAAAAAAAGAAACAAATCAAACAACAAAAATCTCGCAATGAACTAACATTTACCTAAAAAAACAATTATGCAACTACACACAAATTAAGCAACTACACACAAATATGGTTTTTATTTATTCAATGTTAGCTACATCCATAATGAACTAACATTACATCCCTAAGATGAGAGTGGGCTTCTCATTCAAGCTACACAACCTATACAAAGAAAGAAAAAACAAAAACATGCTAGTTCAAAGATCAACCTTAAAAACAATATTGCTAGAGGATACATTTACAGAGAGGAAAAATTGCTTGTTAAATACGGAATAATCCTTAAACTTGCAATATTATAAGAGGATGAGCTAAAACAAAAATGATAATTTTCACTTTGATATCCTAAAGTTTACATCTTTCTACTTCAATAGGCTGAAGGATTTCTTAACACTTTGATACCCCAAACTTTGAATCCAATTTTACTTCGATACCCAAAGTATTCATGTAACATTTTAATATCCAAAGTTCCAATCATATTTCACTCTGATACCCTATCCAAGTTGTGTTAGATCTTTGGTTTAATTTGTATGGTGCATTTAGCATCTGATACATTTAGATTCAGTTTGCCCAGTTGCTAAAACAGTAGTAGAAAATTAACAAAAAAAATCTAATAGATCTAGATGTAGGTATCAAAGTTAAATGAGATAGAAACATTGGGATATCATAGTGTTAAAAAGTACTTTGGGGTTATGAAAATAAAATACGATTAAAACAGTAGGATATCAAAATATTGAAAAAAGTACTTTGGGGGTTTCAAAGTTAAAAATTGGCAAACTTTAAGATGTCAAAGTAAAATAGTAGGTACTCACTTATTATTTTAAAGATTTTCTCTGAGAGAACAACCATGTTAATCAACATATGGGTGTGTTAATGAATCGACAAATTAAACAAATTTAAAAGTTTATAATTATAAATTGATGCGAGGGAAAAAAATCTATCAACCAGAGCTAATTTCTCCTAATTACTTGCATATGTCACAAATTTATATTCACATGACCATATTGTAGTTAATCAACTACATGTTATTCTCTTAACTTGATAATTAATACGGAAAAAATTAAAAATGAAAATAAAAAAAATCTTTTAAAGAATTCACCACTACAACTAAGTTCATACCAAAACCTATTTGCAAGATGTAAGAATTAATATTTCTCCAAACATTCAAATCTCGATGATATCACCTATAATGGGTGATTAAGTGACCAAATATAGTTCCATGTACTTCTACTGATGATTGACTATGCTACTTTTGAAGATGATACTGTGAACACGAGACCGTTATCCATGCTCTTCTAGCAATAATTCAGTATGTAATTATATATGATGATAGAAATACATTGTGTTGTTGTATCATGTGCAATTATATCTGTTATCAAGCTCCAAATGGAGCCACCAAGACTGCCATCACCTTCAAAATTACCTCTAATTTCTTAGCAATAAGAAAGTATCAATACTCATCAATACGCTACGAAGCTGGCGCTTCATGGTGTTTAAGAAGTTCACAAAGGCTGTGTTAGTGGATTTCTCCTCGAGAGTGGGGAGCGGGGACGTAGGTCAGCGGGCCGAACCTCGTTAACACATCGCGCGTCAAGGATAACGATTCCTAACTCTATCTCTTTCTATTTGATTGCACTTCTGTTTTGTGGTTTGCTTGTGCTGAGTTTTAAATTGCATATTAGAGCCTCTTGATCCTAATCACCCCCCCTCTAGGGTCCAACATAGTTTTCATAAATAGACATTACACGTGCAATAGTAGCTATGCGCCGAGTTTAATGTTAAAAAGTAAAGAATGATCAAAATAGAAAGCAACTCAAAATTTTTAGGAATCAAACATGTAGTCTTGTGAATCAAAGATGGCAAACATGTAGTCTTGTGAATCAAAGATGGTCATCCTCGTATTTAGGGAGGAATAAATTATGAAATGCATCTTCAGATGATGCCCCGTAATATTCCATAAATTCAATACATGCTCCAGAGATGCATATTTTTTGCGCAAACCATCGCTCAAAGCTTCATGTCTAATATCTATAAATGCTTAGAGGTCAATAATATAGCCAGAATAAAGTGCTCAACAATTAAAAGTACAAAAAGTTCTCCAATCCAGTATCAATTATGGGGATTTAACTCACCTCATGTCAACCTTTCCATATTTGCTAAAAAACTACCTGAAGTCCTAATTGGCGAGCATCATATTCAAGGTTATCACAGAAAATAAACCTAATCTATACTCTGCCACAATATGAGACGCCCAAGTAGGATGTCAATAGTGAGGCAAATACTATCAGTAGACATAAATATCTTCAATAAACACTCGGAGCGGAACCAATAATTAACAAAAGAAATAGAGTACACGCAACAAACGCAATAGCATAGACAATAGGAAAATGCATGTTTGACCTTTAATACGTCCAATTCAAAGCTCTTTCTAACTAAACAGAGAGTAACCTTTAAAATTATTCAGCAAGGCATTGGATGAAGTTGATGCCACATTGTATTAAAACTCACTATAATGTGACAATGATGAAGTCAACACCACTGTGCATGTCTTTAAGTTTCAATACATGTGAAACTTCAACCCAAAAAAAGTGATAGGAAATTTACAGAACATGAAAGCATTAGAAATATAATGATTTATTTAAATTAAGCAATATGCTACCAATCAAATACAAAACATTTCTTGAGAAAGGTCAGACCTGAAATTCTATAACTTTGGGGAAATTCTATAACCTTTGGGAAAACACGTCCACTGATGTATGTTTGTGTAGAAGATAAAACAAGGCCTAAATGTTTCATTGCACTTTGCGAAATTACATTGAATCAAAAGATACAAATATGAAGATTTTAAATGAATTAATTTAAGTACTCACTTCAAAATCTTCCCCAAAAATGGAGGTGAAATCATATTAGATCATAGCATTATATTCTAAAAGATCAAATGGCAGTACCTCAGATATCTTGAGCAACTAGCATAATTGACCGCACCTTTCCTCTCTTATCTGCAATGGTTTTAGAATAAATATGCCTATTTGATCTGAATCATTAAAAAATTATAGAGAAAATTAAATAAATTAGACTTAAACCCTTTTTAACAAAAACATTCATAATTCTTGACAAGTTACTCTGATCTTGAAACTCGCCTTTGCGCTTATCAT